GGATTTAGATTTGTAGAAAAATAAATAAAATTCAAGTACTACCAGACATCTATGATTGTCAGATCGATACAGATTCAATTTAGGCCATTGGACTCATATATTCGTTCATATGAGCTAGTGGCCTAATCCCATATTTTTTCCACACACACACACACACACATATATATATATATATATATACATCCCCTAATACCTATGAGCTTTAATTGCCTTATTTATACTCTCATGTCTCTTCCCTTAGCATTCATTATTTTAGAAACTAATATATTAAAGGATAATCATGTTTAGAAAGTTTCTCTCTAGAATTACAAGTGAGAGAGGAACGTGATAGAGAGAGAGGAGGTGAGAGAGATGTCTAGAGAGAGACGTGATAGAGAGAGAGGAGGTGAGAGCATAATTAGCAAGTCGGGGACTTTCAATAAATCGGCTTACCTTAAAATCGGGTAAAAATCATTTTTATTTTAAAAAGTAAGATGAAAAAATCAAATAAAAAATACGGATCGGCAAAAATACGTCATGTAAAGATATCGCCAATATATCAGGCTATGCTCAAAAAATCAGATAAGTTAAAATGTTAGAAATTTTGAAGTTCTAAAAAATAAAATTTATGTCAAAGCCATCAATAACTAATCCATTCATAAAAACTTTACTAGACTAATATAATTAATTCAATAAATTTAGATGACTCATGACTCTCATCCAGTATCCAATGTTCAATACAAAATTAACTAAAAATATTCAAAATTAAGAATAAGGCATTGTAGAGTCAAAAGAAAAGTTAGGAGTATAGGAAGGTATAAATCCCAAGTCATATAGACATGCATCATCATCATCATCATCACCTTCTGGAGAGGTATCCTCATGTTCAACCTCTTCGAAAACATCTTTCTGCAATGAACCAAGTTGTTCTAGATTAATTGTATTACAATCTTGAATTTCATTTTCACGATGCAGCTATCGTCTTCTAGTTCACTCGTATGTAAACCAAGTCGGTTAACATAGTTGGTGTCAATCTATTCCTTCTTTTGGTTTAAGTCGCCTCAAGTGCACTCCAATTTCTTTCTCACGCTGATGAGCTACATGGTTGGCTCAAAATCCGAATGGCAACCATTCGAACCAGTGGAATGTTTTCTCCACATATTTCCTACCAAACTCCTACATAATAGGAATTTTTTAGCCACATACGCAATATACAACTAAAAGTGAGATAAAATTTATTTTCTTAAAATACAAAAAAAGAAATAACACACGAAGATACAAGAAATTGATAATCAATAAGATAATTACGAGGATGAGTTGTTGACAATAATCCCAATGCAACACCATCAAATATATTTGAATCCCGCGTATGGTACTTTAACAACTCTGAAAATAATACAGTTTTCTGTTCTGCCTGGATCATTGAATTTGAAATCAAGGTTAAACCAGCCTTCACTTCAGGATTATCAAGTTCAACATGCCCACTATACATTAAAGTTGGATTAAAAAATGAGGCAGCGGTATGAACAGGGTGAATTATATTTCCCTTTCGCCTCTTTTCGAATCTCTTCACCAATTCAAGATACCTAAGTTCATTGCCATTATAATTTATCTTTAGTGCTTCCCTTGCCCTTTCCATTGCTTCATATAAATATCCCATGGTTGACCCCTCACTATCACCCAAAAGAAGCACCTTGATAAGAGGTGTTAATGTAGAGGCTGCATCTGTTGCATCATTCCAAAATTTGGAGCTTTGAATTATTCTATGAGTTTTGTATCATGTTTACTCTTGCTATAATTCATAGCTCTCCACTCAGAGGATGCAACCATCACTCTCAAAACCTCTTCTACTTGTGATACAGTTTGAATCATCAAAAAGTTAATGGCAAATCTAGTTTTACCATACTTTTCCAATTCCCTTCCATTAGTGTTCTTTCTCATCAAATCTAAAATAATGGTATACCGATACGTAAAATTCACTATTAGCTTAGCATCCTTGATGACATTTTGTACCCAAATGATATCTTTATCAATGTCTTCTAGAAGCAAATTCAACCCATGGGTAGCACACCATGTTTTATGAATATGAGATAATCTCGATTCTATTAGATCACCAGCAAGTACATAATTTGATCTATTGTCAGTCACAAGATAAACAATATTTTGTGGTCCTAACTCCTCAATGACATGAACAAGAATCTTTTCAAGAAATAATTCAATTATACTATACTCAGATACTTCAAATGCATTTATAAAAAACTAATCCATTTAGACAAGATGCAACAATATTGAGGAATGACCGGTTTTTCATATCCGACCAGAGATCTGAGATCAAAGTACATATTGACTGAGCCCATGGCTCTTTTATTGAAGCTACATATGCATCGACATCTGTCTTAAGTTCTTATACCAATTTAATGTGAACAAATGAGTAACTTGGCAATATATAGCTAGAACCAAAATTGATACATGCATTTATCATACTGACAAATGATTGTGCATTGATAACATTAAATACAATATTATTCATAACAAATGCATAAGCAACTTTTTTGTCAACAAAATCTTTAATTTTTTTATTCAACAATGAAGATAAAGAACTTTGTTGCTAATGGGAACTGGTAGTAGAGGTACTTAAGTTTATCGAACATTGGTCAATATTTTGAACATATGATGTAATTTTGTTCTTCTTTTTTGGAGGCTTAGAAGATACCTCATTTATCATAGAAACAGTCAAAGCTTGTACATCATCTGGTACCTGAGGACGAGCTTTTATATCATTCCCTTGTTCTCTTGACAAGTGATATTTGAATCTTGTTATCCCTATAGAAAAGGCTTCACCGCAAAAATTGCAATACAATTTATGCCCTCTTTCTTCACCATACTCTCAAAATGGATCTTTTGACCTAACCATTGTATCTTCTTTCCTGATTTTTTAATAAAATAAAAAAATATAGAATATATAAGTCTACACAGGGGTTCATGCTCTTTATAAAAAATAAAATAATAAGTTCATGGTACGTACACCATATGAATTTCTTCATTAAATGTTTTAACAAACATCACATCTACCTAATACATACCAAAAAAATACATATAAATATTCACATTAAATACTTAAAAAAAGATCATACCTACCAAAAAAAGTAAACCATATAAATTTTCACATTAAATTCTTCAACAAATATCAAACCAACTTGAATACATATAAAAAACAAATACACCATATAAATTGAATCCATATCAAAAAACCTAATTGAATAACTACTTGCATTTTCACTATCATCTCAACATTTTCACTATCATCTCCACCGTACATTTCTTCCCAACATTTCACACATTTGGATCTCACCCTATCATCCCTTTGTACTTTGTACTCACCCTACAATACATTTCCATCTCATGCTATCTCACCCTACTTTCATTTTCACTATCATGAAAGCATCTCCACCATACTTTTCTTTTTCTCTCCTCACACCTCTTTTCCTTTCTCTAAAACATCCCCCATAAAAGAAGAGATAGAGAGAGAAAAAAAATCACCGGGGTTTTTTGCAAGCAGAATGACTCTTTCATCTTTGAAGTGAATGGAGAGAGTAGTTCATTCAAACCAAGAGGGAAGCAGGGCAGGCAGCAGTCCCACAGGCAAGGGAAAGAGTCAAGTCCCAGCCAGATAGAGACAACACTGCAAGCCATCCCCTCAGCTAGTAGTATTGAAAAAGAGTACAAATCGCACCTTTGAAATTTTCCATAGAAGAAGAGGTAGAGAGAGAAGAAAAATCATAGGGGTTTTTGCAGGGCAGAAGAAAGGGAACAAATCGCACCTCTGAAATTCCCCATAAAAGAAGAGGTAAAGAGAGAAGAAAAATCACAGGGGTTTTTGCAGGGCAGAAGAAAGATCACAAATCGCACCTCTGAAATTCCCATGAAAGAAGAAGTAGAGAGAGAAAAAAAATCACTAGGGCTTCTGCAAGGCAAAAGAAAGGTTCTTTACACAATAATTTTGTTTATTCTACATCTTAAAGAAAATCATGCTACACAAAGATTCTTGACTCTGCATCTATATTATCTTCTTTACACAATAAGTTTTTTTACACAATGATTTGTATGTAAACAGTATTTTCTTTGCATAATAACTATTTGAATACCTACTTGCATTTTCACTATCATCTCCACCATACATTTCTTCCCAACATTTCAAACATTTGGATCTCACCCTATCATCCCTTTGTACTTCCAAAATCGAGAGGTAGAGAGAGAAGAAAATCCCTTTGTACTCACCCAAAATCCTTTTGTACTCACCGTACAATACATTTTCATCTCACTCTACTTTCATTTTCACTATCATGAAAGCGTCTCCACCATACATTTCTTTCTCTCTCCTCACACCTCTTTTCCTTTCTCTAAACATCCCCCATAAAAGAAGAGGTACAAAGAGAAGATAAATCGTAGGGGTTTTTTGCAGGCAGAATGACTCCTTCATCTTTGAAGTGAATGGAGAGAGCAGTTCATTCAAAGCAAGAGGGAAGCAGGGCAGGCAGCAGTCTCACAGGCAAAGGAGAGAGTCAAGTCCCAACCAAATAGAGATAACTCTGCAATCCAATCCCTCAGCAAGTAGTATTGAAAAAGGGCAAAAATCGCACCTCTGAAATTTTCGATAGAAGAGGAGGTAGAGAGAGAAGAAAAATCATAGGGGTTTTTGTAGGGCAGAAGAAAGGGTACAAATCGCACCTCTGAAATTCTCCATAAAAAAAGAGGTAAAGAGAGAAGAAAAATCACAGGGGTTTTTGCAGGGCAGAAGAAAGGGCACAAATCACACATCTGAAATTCCCCATAAAAGAAGAGGTAGAGAGAGAAAAAAAATCACAGGGGTTTCTACAAGGCAAAAGAAAGGTTTTTTACACAATAATTTTGTTTATTCTACATCTTTAAAGAAAATCATGGTGCACAAAGATTCTTTACTCTCCATCTATATTATCTTCTGTACACAATAATTTTCTTTACACACTGATTTGTATGTAAACAGTATTTTCTTTGCATAATAACTATTGAAATATGCATCTTGTTGAAGTTAAAAAGAAAAAGAAAAAAAAATCATTCCTTCAATCTGAAAATATGGCTGTGAAGAAGAAGAAGAACAGAGCATAAACCCTAAATCCTAACAATACATAATCTATTGGGGATTTTTATTTTCGGATTTTTTTTGTGAAAATAATTTGTTCTTTCACAGGTTACACAAATTAGGAAAACAATTGTTTCTGTTTCTAAAAAAATTACAGGTAAAAAAAAAAGAAATGTTTTTGGTTCCTTTTTTTCGTTCCTTAAGAAGACGCATTGTTAACGGTATTATGAAAAAAACGCATTTGTTTTACGAACTTTTAAAAAATATGACGTTTAGAACGTTTTCCAAAAATTCGTCGTGTTTTTTAAAAATTCGGCGATTAGTCGCCGAATTACTAACTATGCTCCCAACCAACTAGATATAGAGTCTGCCTAAAAGCCCGTTGCATGAAATTTTGGCAAACACCATACGTCCACTCTCTGAAGAGGATAAGAGGTTTACGTTTTTGAGGTGTTATATTTAAGCGAAGTTATCGCTAATATATCTTAATTTTAATAAAATTAGAGAAAAGACCTCAAACTTTTCAAAACCTCATCCACACCCTTTTTTCAATTTTGGGCTTTTTTTGGACGAAATTACCCTTTAGGGTAGTCTTTTTATCGTAATACATTTTGATAGTATTACGGTATAAAAACCACTGTAATAGTATCAAGATATATTACGGTACGTGAAGTACCATAATAACTTATTACCATAGTCACCGTAAAGAACTTTACGGTAATTTAAATACCGTAATGTTTAGAAAATTACATATGGTAATATATATACCATAATGCCAAGGATATTTTTTACTGTAAATTAATTACCATATTATGTTAACACAAAATTACGGTACTCGTAGTACCATATTAGCTGCCACAAATTATACGGTAAGAAAATTACCGTAATTATTTCCCGCTTTTTTGCTTTTACCAATTTTTTCATAAAACCTTATTTTGTTCATTTAGCACTTTCATCCATTTTTTATCTCTTTCCTTTATCTCTCTTATCTATTTTCTATCATATCATCTATTATTTATCAATCTTTGAACGAGATCTCTGAGAGCATCAAATATACAAACCAACACTGATTTTTATGTATGTCATAAAAATATTATGAGAGCATCAAATATACACACCAACACTGATTTTTATGTATGTCATAAGAATATTATGTTGTTTTTAGCATCTAAAAAAAAAATTTAAGTTGTTTTTCTGTAATACTTGATGTAATTTGATTAAAATATTTCATAAATAAGTTTTAGATTTATTGATATTGTTACATAAATAAGTTTTAGATTTATTTAATGGTTGGCCATCAAAATAATGGTTTTCTATAATACTTGATGTAGTTGGGTTGGCCATTGTATTTTTTTTTTTTATATTATGGCATCTGTATTGCAATCTAATATCCTTCATGCAACCTCCTCATTATTTGTAAGTATTTTGAACTTCTTATAAGTGAGCTTGTATATGTTTCCATCTGAAATTTCTATGTAGTGATTCAGCTTGTACGCAACAATAATGGGTGAATCACTACATAGAAGCTACTTCTTTGGTGGTTTTTCCAAGAAGAAATCTAATTATGGAAGCATTTTTTATTACGGTGGAGATGTAAAGGTTATATTTTTTAAAGGGATCCCATCATTTGAACAAGTCAATGATCACTTGTCAAAAGTATCAAATTATGCCCCAAGTACCATGACTATTAGGTATATTTATCTAGGGTTACCAAGTAACAGTACTATGAGACATATTGATGATGATGAAGATATTGCCAATATGATGGAAGGATCTTCTCCCATTACTATGTGCATATCAAACAGACTTATTGAGTCTGACTGCACTGAATATCGTCAAGTTTTTTTATATGAGTTAGGATAATTCTGACTTGTCTTGAATTTTTTTTTCTACCGCACTTCCCGACTAGAGCAAGTATGTCACAATGAATGTGCTGCTGGCATAGGCGTAGAAGATGAACAAGATTCAGAAATCGAACGGCATATCGACGACATTGATTCAATAGAAAGCTCCTTGAGAATTAACCGTTACGAAGTTGTACTTCGAGAGGGTCAGGATTATGATGATGTACAGGCATGCGTAATCACCTTATTGATTATGCCATATCACAAAACTTCAATATGAAGTTGATAAAACGCGAGGTGAAGTGTGTATGGAAGAGGTGTGCTACAGATGGGTGTTCATGGCAAGTGCACTGTTGGAGGATTAATACAACAAACTCCTTCAGGGTGAAGAAGTTTGTAAACGTGCACTCATGTGCCGGCTTAATAGGTCATCAGCCGCTTGCTCGAAGCCAATGGGTGGCAAGCAAGATCAAAGACCGGTTGAATGATACGTCTGATCTTACAGCTGGAGATGTGGTTAATGATATACAACATGATCACGATGTCATGTTATCTTACCAACAAGCATGACGGGGCAAAGAAGTTGCACAAGAGATAAATGAGGGTTCCTATATGAAGTCATATGAGGATCTCGCTAAATATCTTCATAAGATCTGAATCACTAACCCTAGAACCATAACGATTATTCAAACAGATGATTATGATAGGTTTAAGCGTGTGTTTATAGGGAATCGTGTATGTTTGTATGGTTTTATGTTTGGTTATAGGCCACTAATAGGTCTAGATGAGACATTTTTTAAAGGAAGATACAAAGGGATATTATTGGCTGTAGTTGGGGTAGATGCAAATAAAAATATATTTATTATAGCATATGCAGTAGTTGAGAGTGAAAATACATCAAGTTAGACTTCGTTCCTAGAGCTTTTGAATGAGCAGTTTTGTAAGAAGCCTGATTTGTCAGCATTGACTATTGTCTCGGATCGTCAAAAAAGGTTACAAGCAGCAATTGAAACAGTATTTCCAACCAGTGAATAAGGCTATTGTATGAATCACCTTGCCGATAACTTCAAAAAGGCCTATAGAAATTCGGCGCTCACAAAGCTTTATTGGAAAGCTGCACGTACATTGATTATATCATACTTTGATGAGTACATAGCAAAGATTAAGAGTGTAAATACTGAGCCCTATGATTAGATTATGTTATAACATCCAAAATATTTGGCAAATGCATATTTTCAGGGGTGTAGATATAATCATCTGACATCAAACATATCTGAATCATTTTACCAGTGGATATTACAGGCTCAGGAGAAGCCCCTTATTAAACTCCTTGAATGCCTAAGGATTAAGCTCATGTGAGAATTTTCAAAGAAGATGACCATGTCCCTAGAATGGAGCAGCATGCTTACACTGAAGGCCCAAAAGGTAATAGACCTGAGGAGGGATAAGTCCAGATTCCTTCATACAGTCTAATGGGCATATGATAGTATGTATGAGATCGATGTGGATAAGAAATATGTTGTTAAGAGTGGCTTATCCACTTAGGTGTTGATGATCAGAATGAATAACCTTTGACAAAGCTTGAAACAAAAAAGCAAATGTAGTTGCACCCCATGCACACTGACCAGCTACGTTCATATCCTCAAAAAGTTATAAATAGATTGTAGGAACCGTACCATCTGTGGAATCTAGAAATATTGTGCATCCGACTAGATATAAAAAGTGAAAACGGGTGTATCATAAAAGAGTGGTGCGGTTATAATTCTGTGGTAGCCATTTAAACCTGTTTTTCAGCCATGTCAGCCGGATAATAGAATGACTACGACTAGGTGGCAGTTGTCCTATCATGCGGACTATATAATCTTCGTAGTTCTCCACTCTCCTCAAGGTTACAGCTACACCAGTCACCTTTAACCAGAGAATTTTCCATGTATCTTCAAGAGTATGCATTATCTCTTCGATGTCTACATTGAAGTGCCCGTGTTTGTCTCTACACGCCACATCTCGATAATTGTAAATAATATGTCGTGATCATGGTGACTCATTGATACTATGGTCAGAGGATACAATCATGATCTCCTGACCAAATCAATTTGATCGTTGTTTGTTAACAACCATGAAGAATTTGCATTGGGCTGCTCATCAATCCTAAGGGTATTTTCCCGATCCTGAAATAGAATTTGTGTTTTCAGATACTAAAATTAATATATTGATTAA